TTTTGTTTTCTTTTTTATGTATTGTTCCCTTCCCTTCCGGTTTGTGAGCCGCCCTGAGTCCCTTGGGGATAGGGCGGCATACAAGTTGAATAAAATCCAAATCCAATTCTTGCATGTGAGTCTTGTCTGGGCCTTCAGCCAAAGGAGTCGATAACTCCGTGATTAAAGAGTGGCAAATAGCCAAGCCTGTGTCTAGGTGATTCACAGGCCGGAGGGTGGGTCAGAACAGGTAGACATATTCCAAGTCCTTTCCATTAAACATTTCTATTTGTGGGTCCTTAGAGGAGCATCTTTTCTTTTGCAATCTCTGTCCTAAGGAGCACCATTGGCCCTGAGACCAGCAGCCTTCCCTCTTTAACCTTCAGGAGAGCAATTAAGATCTGGCTATGTTGATTACCATCTGGGAAGTGCGGTTTTGGGGCAAGTTTTTCTTTTTTTTTCCTTTTAGTTTTATCATTTTTTTTGCTTTATGATTATTTATTGTTTGATTGGTTGTAAGACACCCAAGAGTTGGTTTTAAGATGGGCAGCTGAACAAATGTTTTAAATAATTTTAACGAAAGTAATAAATAATCTTGCCATATTTCTTTTGTTCCCAGTGCTACAAGACTTCCAAAGACCATAGTCCTCAGCTGGATGTTAATTTGGTGAGCTGTAGTGTCATTCACAAGGAGAAGAATCTGAGAAAGCAGGAACATAAGCTGAAGATCATCCCCATGAATGCAGACGTGATTGTCTTGGGTTTGCAAAGTAAAGACCAAGCAGAACAATGGCTCAGAGTGAGTGGAGCCCCCTTTTTTTTGGCAATGCCTGTTACTCCAGGTTGAAGGATTTGTTGAAGCCACAATTGCAAATGCCAATACTGAAATTGGCAGCCAGTATTCTTGTGTTTTACCAGGCATGTGATTTAAGACTTTTTCTTAAAGAAACACACAGTGCCTTTAGGAAAATATACTTGTTGAGCTCACTAGAACCCAAGGGCAAATGTATGATTTAGAAGAGCAAAGTTCCTTGTTAAATTAATATATTTTTAGAGAATTTTCAATAATGTTAATTTAAATTTTATACAGGTAGTCCTCGAGTTATGACCAGTCATTGGGCCACCATTTAAACTTATGATGCCACCAAGTGAATGATGCTTATAACTGATCCTCTAATTTCCAGGTTTACTTAAACATTACTGTGCTTCTAAGCTTTTCAAGGGATAAATGTTCAATGTTGTGTGGCCATGCCCTTGCGTTTGATATTTCTGTGCTTATTATTTTGATTTTTCTGCATCTGGATCATCTTGATTTTCCATACCGAAGACCTCTGAACTGAGGTTAGCTGTGAAAACACAAGGAAATGCTTAATAATTTATAGTTAAGTAAAAATGTCCAAGTTCAAAGCAAGTACATGCTGTTTGATAAATCTTGTAAAAGCACAAGAACACTGGCTGGCAAAGAACCAAGCCTCTGTTTCTAAATTAAACTAACCACAGCAAAATATACATGTATGCACTCATATTGGTATAACACAGGGTTACTTTGTCAGCCCACACTGAGGTAATCTTCTATGCCTCTCGTGAGTGGTTTTAATCTACAGTGGTCAATATAGCACAGAAACTAAAATCATTTTCTTCTAATAGGTGAAAGAGGATTAAAAAAAACTGTTGTTGGCTCATGTACTGTTTTGCATCTTGATATCTCTACTGACATGCCCAGAGACTGTTACGTAAGAAACCATTCCTAATTAGAGTAGAACAATGGAGGGGGTTGCCGAGCACATCCTCCGATTTGGTGTGCTGTTTATATATGTGTCCTAGGCTTCACTCGCAAGCAGAAGTTTCTGAAACAGCTCAACTTTCCTTTCTCTTAACTTAAAAACTGCTTTGCTTAAATTGAATTCAGCTTCAATTAAAATGCTTTTCAGCACAGAAGAAAATAAAAGCTGTAGCTGGCCATAAGACACGAAATTGCTTATATCATGTTTTTTCCCCTCCTAGGTAATCCAAGAAACAAGTGGTCTCTATCCAGAGGGGCCATGTGAAGGAAATCAGTACGTTCCAGATGTCCAGCGGTTCAATAACCCAAAAGTATGTCTTATCTTTTGAAGGGGATGCTTAAAAAGTAGCTCTTAAATCTTCTATTATATAATATTTTAAAACTACTTGATTATAAAAGGGAAATAATTCCCACCATCAAAACAGGAAAATGGTTGAAAACTCCAGCCTGTTTTGGATGCTGCAATTAGAACAGCTTCAAGCATCTTTCCATCCCTTCACAACAACACTTCTTTGTATCCATTTATCTTCGCAATGAGTTTGTTTCAAATTGCTTTTAAAGAGAGTTTATAGATTTAGTTCTGTTCAAATCCAGAGGAAAACATTATATTAAAAAAGCATTCTTTTTTTCTTTTCTTTTTACAATCATTTAATCCCTTGTTTCAGGGTGGCTTCAAAGCTATTGAGTGGAGCTGAGTGTTTACTGGCCTTTATAACACATATAAAACTATGTTCTTGTTGTTAGTTGCGAAGTTGTGTCTGACCCATGGACAACATTCTTCCAGGCCTTCCTGTCCTCTACCATCCTCTGGAGTCCATTTAAGCTCACACCTACTGCTTCAGTGACGCCATCCAGCTTCTTCATTCTCTGTTATCTCATTCTTCTTTTGCCCTCAATCTTTCCCAGCATTAGGATCTTCTTCAGTGAGTCTGTGGGGGTGTATGTGGGATCCCCACATGCATCCCAACAGAAGTCTATCTGGGATGGGAAACATGGAACAAAGGTAGTCAAACATAACCTAGAGGAAAAGACTACTCTGATGGTAGTAAGGTCTTCTTTCCTACTGGGGAGTCAGCACAGAATTTGCCTTAGGGAGTTGTTGATGTTGTTTAAATTGGAGCTACTATGTTCTGAGCTGCAGAAGAGAAGGGAGTGTTCCCAACAACCTGCTGTGATACATTTGCAAAACAGTTTGCTTATTAAATTGCTTACCTCTATTCCAATTTGGATTTGTTCAATGAAAGTGATTGATAGCGTTCAGTATCCATAGATAAGACTTTTATGGACCCAACAATTTTTTTAATGGTGGGAATGGGAGCTAAATGACTCTGGGAGGCAAATGATTAACTCTACAATCCTAGGTATTTCCATCCAGCAGAAGAGGCTGAAATAGTACCACTACGTTGTTCCTCTACATTATGCCACTTAATTCAGCTCTGTAGGATTCTGTATGCTTTTAAATATCTACAAGAAGCTGCTAACTCATGTGCAGTTTTAGGGAGTGGTCTGATTATTATTTGGGTGGTATCTAACTCCCTTTTTTGTTGTCAATTGATGCCAAGGAGTTTTAAAGTTAACTTTCCACATGGCTTGGCTACCATGAAAAGACCTTTTCTTCTTAGTTTGATTAGTTCTTCAAAATTCAGAATGAGCTTACATTCAGAATTATATAATGTTTATGTGCCCCAAGAGGGACACATAAAAAGAGCTGTATTTTCCTGGATGTAGTGAACATGTCTTTCCTCAATAGATTTCTTGCTGGATCATTAAAAAAGAAAGCTATGGTGATTTAAAGTGAGACTAAAGGGGCATTTCATAGAACATACTGTTATATTTGTTTATATTTTAATATCAGTATTATAATTAAATGAGTATGTTTTAAGCCAATCAACCAACCATTGGGCAAAGAGGAAGCTTGGTGGAAAGACTAAGTTTCTCCAAGTTTCGTGTACCTGGTGTTCCAATCAAGCTGTGTTGCTACTTGCCCAAAATCAAATAAAAAAAGAAACAACTGTTTATTTAGAGAGGATTTGTAAATCTGATAACATTCCAAGAGCAATAAATACATCAATGTTCATGTTTTTTCATTGTACCATCCATCATTTTCTCACATTTCTCTAAACACAAAATATAAGTTTCCAACAGCAAAAGAGTTCTTCAACCCAATACTTTATGATTTTCTCAATTTTAGTCATGGGGATTGTTTTTTGTTCTTTGCAGGTGGAGCCATCAGAGAGTGGAAGCAACACTGATGGTCACATGGAGCTGGTGGAAACAAAAGATGGTAACATGACTTTCAATTCAGAAAGTTAACCTGATTTTCATGTCTGTGCCTAATATAAGCCCTACCCCAAAATAAATCATAGTTAAGTCTCGGCCACCATCTGGTTGCACATATGTAAAAATCAAGCTAGGATGATGATGAAGGGATGGAACTGCTCATGTGCCATGCACCCGCTTACCTTAGGACGATTATGGCCAGGCCTCCCACACCCCAACAACTGTTGTGCTGCTGCACTTCTGCTGCTGCTTGCGGCAGGATGCTGTGTGGCTCATCACACTGGTGCCACCACTTGCGGCATGCCATGTGGCTGATTGTGTTGGTGCTGCCGCTTGAGGCACGACACCATGTTACATGTCACACCAGTGGTGTGAGCGACAGGATGCTGTGTGGCTGATCACACTGGTGCCACCACTTGCGACATGTGGCTCATTGTGCTGGTGCTGCCGCTTGCGGCAAAACACCATGTCGCACATCGCACCAGAGGTGCCACTCACACATGCAACTGCCCAACACACCATGCAGCCTCCTGTCACGACGAATCATGTATTGTCTGGTCGCAAGTGGCTGCGAGCGGCTGCAGAAGAAGTTGGACAGTAAGACATTCCCCCCCAAAATAAGACCTGGTGCTTATTTTGCCCCCCCCCCAAAAAAAAACAAGATCAGGTCTTATTTTGGGGAAAACACAGTAGTACCTTTCATAGATGTTGTGAATTGTAATCCCATGACAACTACAGGGCTCTGGGCAGGAGAAATTTGAATTAGAAGGAGGAAGAGAGAAATTAAAGCAGCTGTCTCTGCTGTATATTGAATTTGCAGATTGCCTGGTTGAAATAGAATTGGAGAGAAGAGCTTCTTTGCCAAGTTAATTTGTTATCCACACTAATTGAACTACGTAGCTTCTACCAAGGATAATGAAATAGAGTACCTTGTAGAACATAGAAAACTTCTACATACCTGTTTGTCAGTCCAATCCACTACTTTTTTGACTGGCAATGATTGCCCAGGGTTTTGAGCAGAAAGAAATCCTTTACATCTCCTATCTGAATTTTTAATTAAAAACCAAGAATCAAATGTGGGACTTTCTGTATAAAATGCTTATGCTCTCTTGCTAAGCTATGATCCCTTTCCAAAGGAGGGAATTTGAAAAAAAAGCATTGTATCGTGATTCCTTCTCTAAATACAGAATGAAAATGTTGCTACTCGGAATAATATCATAAAGAGGAGGCATTTTACCTGAAACTAAATTTCATTTAATGTTGGAATTTGAAAGGAAGCGTATTTTAGATTTGATTATTAGCTGGGTAATTTTTTTTTCTGGAACTGAAGCATTGGAAACAATATCAGGCCAGAAGCTTGTAACAGCTTTGTTAAATTGTTGGTAAACTGCAGTAAAACTAACCAGTGAGCTTACATGCCAAGAATATATATTGCAGTTATGTGCTTGCTTACATGAGGTATTGTGTGTATTTATCCCAAGAATTAAAGTTTCACCAAAATGGCGATAAAGGATTTAGTGTAAATAGAAACAGAAAAGGACAACCACAATTAGAGTCGGTAAACACCCTCTATTTGTAACAGACCTCATCTGAGTTTTCAGTCATCCCTTGCAGATTATTGTAAAAACCTGATGAGCTTTGCAAATACCTGAAAAAGAATGCTTGCAAACGCTTTCCCCAGTTCTGCAGTAAAAAGGATGGTTCAAATGAAAAAGAGCTCAGCTTTTAATCACAAGAGTCTTTCTCACCTCCCATAACCATGCTTTAGCATTTTTTTTTCTCCTGCCACGTACTCATTAAGTGGCTTTTGTCTCATCCCCGGCCCATATCTGAGGCATTTGAAAATGGTCTCCTCTCCCAACGCAGTCTTTGCTGTGGACATGATCTGGCACATTTTGTAGATCATTTAGCTGATGATGTGGCTTGGAGCTAAGATCTGCTCAGTTCGCAGCTTTAGGCTCCTGCAGGCAAATCCCTTCCCTTTAGTTCAGTGTTTCTCAACCTTGGCAACTTGAAGATGTCTGGACTTCAACTCCCAGAATTCTGGGAGTTGAAGTCCGGACATCTTCAAGTTGCCAAGGT